AGTTTTGCCTGATAAGTCTGCTGACTCAAATACACTGTAATCATCCATCTGTGAAAACCCAAGTGCTGTCTCACACAAAGCCAGCTGTTGCCTAGAGTGTTCCCGCTGGCTACCATGCCGACTTCTTCATGTGGCTGGATCATGGCTACATGGGCTCGGAGCTGCTGACAGTGTGCCCTGTTGTGTTCACTGTGCTCAGTGCACTGCGTGGACACATACTAGGAATGTCACGTTCTGCTTCTGGGCTATTGACTGATACCCAGTGACCCACCCCTGTTCAGAATACAAGATGTTTCCTTTTAGATGTGGGCCTTTATCTGTCCAATCTAATCAGAGATAGACAAGCAGTGTACCAGGAACTGGGAGTGAAACCCTGGAGTGTCTTCTGGTTGCTTCTTGGCTCCACGGCAGGCCCTGTCCCCGCCTGTCTTTCTGCCAGTGCCCTAGGAAGGAGCATGCAGCCGGCATGGAAAGGCGGCATGTGTGGCTCAGGGCTGCAGCAAGACAGGATGGTGGCTCCAAAAAGGCATTGTGGGGTGTGTGTGGGTCTGATGACCTCGCTGTCAGTCAGATGGGCTCTCTGGACCAGCCGAGCTCTTCACAGAAGCCAGAATGGGCTCCTTCCTTAAATGGAGGCGTGTCTGATGCCACCAGGAGCATATTCTTGAGTGGAGTAGGATTATTGAATTGGCTTTTGCAGATGATGCAAATGATATGTCAGCACCTGGGTTTTAGATAGCTTTATTTGTATTTCCTGAAAACCTGGACCCTTGGGTCAGCAGGAGTGTTTTTGTTGTTTGATTTGTTGTTACTTTGGTGTGCACACATTGTGCGTTGGAGGGCTCCCTCAGGACTGGCGTTCTTTGCCATCTTGATTAAAGTGACCGCTGCCTGAATTCCTTGGTTACACAGCGGGCTGCTGTCATTTCCCTGTAGCAAGTCACCATCTTGCTCCCCCTGGTGGCATCAGAGTTCTGCTCTACAGTTTAGGAGTCACTTTCACTAGTACACATTTCATTTAGTGCCTCCTTATTGGAGATCAGGTATGTTCCCAGTTTGTTTCCAGAGTGAAAACAACAACAAAAAAAGAGTCTTCATTGGATAGGCTGATGGGGGTGTGGGCGGAGCCAGAGGCTTTGGTTCCCATGGTAGCAAGGTTGGCCGTGGCATTCACATCAGCTGCCAAACTCTGAGACCTCTCTGCTCTACCCCAGAGGATTCAGGTGTCATTGGCCTGGCAACAGTCGCCTCTAGAGGGCCGCTGTCACAATCCTGGGAAAGATGACAGGGGTCTGGCAGTTGGTGGTGCTGGAAGACAAGGGTGGGTCCCATCTGATGACAGACCCCCTGTGCCCTGGTGAATCCAGCATGGGAGGCGCCTTCTGCCATCTGACTTAACTTGAGGGACTGGCCCATATCTGCACACACAGCATCATTTCTAGCTTACGGCTGCTAAGCATGCTCAGAAGCTTCTAGCAATTGAAGCTGAAATAATTGCCTGCCTCTTTTGAGACTCTAACTTTCTTTAGGGATTGATGACCAATGATTGCATGGTGTCTAATCTGCTTTTTTTTCTGCCACTATTTGTTTTTCACAGTCTTGACTATTGTTATGGTTTTGTGTTCATTCAACTTGGTATCCTGTTATACTTAAAGCACGTCTGTGTTATATGTGTTAGTGCTGAAATGTACAAAACTTCAAAAAGTACCTGTGGGCCAGGCACGGTGACTCATGCCTGTGATCCCAGCACTTTGGGAGTCTGAGGTGGGAGGATCACTTGACCCGGGGAGGTCAAGACCAGCCTGAGCAATGTAGTGAGATCTTGTCTCTACAAAAAGTAAAAAACCTAGTTGGGCATACCTGCAATCCCAGCTATTCAGGAGTCTAAGGCAGCAGGATTGCCTGAGCCCAGGAGGTTGAGGCTGCGGTGAGCTGTGACTGTGCCACTGTATTCAAGCCTGGGCAACAGAGTGAAACCCTGACTTGAAAAAAAAAAGTACCTGTGGTTGCCAGGACTCAGGACTCTGTTTTCGTGCAGGTGAGACTTTGCTTCTTAAGCCTTAGTGAGGTTAAGGTAAAAGCTGCAAAAGTTATAATGGTTGCCAATTAATGGTCAACAGGGGAGATGTCCTTGAGGCTTGTGAACAAGAAAACTGTAATTAGAATATTCTCCTTTTAAAACTCACGTATAGAGAAAGTGTTTAGGTATATCTTTTCCCAATGATTTATCCTCAGGTTAAGTGTTTATGTGGGGAAAAATAAAAGAGCAGGATCAGATGAAAATTCTAGCAAGAGGGAATGCTGCAGTGCTCCCTGGTGTGTGTTATTCAGGATGTGGAGGAAAAGAGGAAACACCCACATTACTTAAAAAATAAGCACTGCTTGCTCAAGAGCCCAACGACTTAGTTGAAGAATTACAGCCGTGCAGCAGAGTAGCAAAGCATGTCATCCATGAGGTCTGTGTGGAGTCCTGTGGGACTTGAATTCGTGATTGTGAAGACAGTGACATCACATGCCCTCATGGCCCATGGGGCCTAAGGGGGTTCATCTGATAAGACTTTGGGCTGTGGGGACCAGCTTGTGTCTCTCTGCATACATGCACGCATGTGACAGGTGTGTGCGTGCCCGTCTCAGCACCGGAAGGGTCACAACAGCTCAGACTGCTTTCTGATGGCTTTTGGAGTTCTGTGTGGTGCCAGTACTCTATAAACAACTTTTAGCAGAACAAGGCCCATGGGGCTGGGAGGTCTGCATGCCACCCCTGAGAGGACTATGTGACACCTTCATGACAGTTTGATAGGTGACTCCCTAGCATATCCCAGCCATGGCTTGGAGGCATGCGCCTCTTTTGAGATGTGTGAGGAATGAGTGGGTGCGGGACATCCCCGTGCCTACAGAGGGGTGTGGTATTTGTATGCCTGCTGGGGAGCCGGGTATCTGTACCCATGGGCAGGATGAGGCCCACCCGTGTTCCTCAAGGTCCTGGCGAGTGGTGCACTGGTAACTGGCCTGGACTTGCCCTTAGAATCTCAGTTGTTGACTGATCACTCTTTATCTAACACCAAAATCTTGTCAGACCAGCCTCTACTTGCTTTCCTGTGGCTATTGGGGTTTGTCATTTGTTTTTTTTCCTTAAGATTCAAAACAACAAAAACACACACGTAAGCACTTGGCTGGAGCACAGCAGAGAACATGAAACAGAGGAATGAGATTTGTATTTTTGTTGAAACCCTCAGCTCATGTCTTACTCAGTGCCTTGGTGAAACACGGTCCTTATGGGGCAGGAGTGACCTGGAGACTGGGTGGCAGGAGCAGGAGGTGGTGGAGGGATCTCCTGGTCTTAGGTAGAGCAGCCAGCTAGGGCAGAACCAGCAGAAAGCAAGTATTTTTGTCAGGGCTTCTTTCCTGCTACTTAGTTATTGGCAGTTTGAGAAACTGTCCACACACCTTGGCAAGAAACAGAACTGAGAGCATTTGGGAAAGAATGAGAGAGAGTGATGTCTGTTCATTTGCTGGAGACTTCCAGGGCAGAGGGGAACCCACAGACACATTTATGGCATGTTGAAGCATTCGTCTGCAAGCTGACATTTTATACAGGGCTTCCTCAAGGAATCTCACTAAACCCCACTGTTAAAATACTGGCCCCCAGATGTGGAAGCAGGTGGAGCGTGTGGTTGACAGGGTGCGGGGCTGACTTTGAGCAGATCCCTCACCGTTTGCCAGGCCTGAACCCAGCCCCAGAGCTGCTCTCCAGGAGCCAGTTGATGTCCCACTGCTGACACATCAGCCTCTTGTCATGCCATACCTATGACACCTGGACCGCACACCTAGTCAGCCCACCCGTGCTTATTCATGAAGTTTTCCAGCCTGTGTGCTTCTCCTCACCCTGCCTCCTTCCCAGGCCGAGCTGGTTGCTCCATCAGCTGTATTTCCCTCACAGCGTGTGGATCCTTCTGCTGCGTGTCGGGATCTTGCTTACTGTAGTGGAGTCCAATGGCGTATGCAGAGGGACAGCCCCTTCTTCTTCTCTAACCTGCTGTCCAACCACTTGTTGTGTGTAGGCAGGGGATGTACTCATGGTTAACACATCTGTGCCATCAGCCAAAGCCATGAAATGTGTTTGGGAATGATTCCAAGGGCTTTCCAAACATTGACAAAAAAGCATTCAGGTGACTGGAGGCATGGCCATTAGCACTGTCTAGGAATGGAATTGTTAGAGGCCACCAAGGAACATTGTCTAATAAGAAGTGGAGGAACAATGTCTTGGACAACCATAACAAAATACCACACATTGGGTGGCTTGAACAACAGCCATTGATTTTCTCATAGTTCTGGAAGCTGCAAGTCCAAGCTCAGGGGCCGTTGGGGTCGATTGCTGGTGAGGGATCTCTTCTTGGCTTGCGGGTGGCTGCCTTCCTGCTGTGTCCTCACACGCCTTTCCTCTTGGGTGCAGCCCAAGAGACGGCTCCAGGGCTCTGGCATCTCCTCCTCCTTTTAGGAGAACACCAGTCTTACCCAATTAGGTACCCCCTTATGGCTTCATTTTTTCTTAATCACTTCCTAAAAGTTCTGTTTCTGAATACAGTAACATTGGCGGTTAGGGTTTCAAACGTGAATTTTGTGGGGGTCACAATTCAGTTCCTAACAGGGATTGTATACACAGAACCTCAGGTTTGGTTGTTTTCTTGTCAGGAACTTAAGCTTCTTGAAGACAATTTCAACCATGGGTGATTTTCATGGGACACTCACTTTAGTTCATAGCCCCAGGTTAGATGTCACCATCTGTCATGACATTCAGATTACATCGTAGTTAATTTTTATGCAAATACCTTCTCCCAGTGGATTTCTGGTAAGGGCTGGCCTGAATCTTTCTCATCTTTGTCTGCCTGTTGAGAATTGTTGAATGACATTGCAGGGACAGACTCTTTTCTCACTGTCTGCATCAGAACAAAATCAAATGTATCAATGATAGTTCTCATTCCCATCCTCTTGTGTTTGCAGCCACCACTGGTCCAAGCCATCTTTAGTGGCGACCCTGAGGAAATACGCATGCTCATCCACAAGACGGAGGACGTGAACACTCTGGTAAGAGACACGAGCCTTGAATTGTACCCCACATCTTTATAATAAATAAATAAATTTTAAAAAAAGAGAGAGAGACACGAGCCTTACTGTCAGGCCCTGCCAGCTGGAGCAAGCCAGGGTACTCAGCCTTGTTTGTCCCTGGACTCCTTGGGGGATCTGTAGAGAGCTCTGGCTGCTTCTCAAACACTGTTTTAAACCCAAGGAAATAAATTATATTGAAATATAAAAATACCAAATTTTTAAAAATTTTTGTCAAGACATGGTCTTGCTATGTTGCCCAGGCTGGTCTTGAACTCCTGGGCTCAAGTGATCTCTCCTACCTTAGCTTCCCAAAGTGCTGGGATTACAGGTATGAGCCACTGCACCCAGCCCAAATATTACTATATCACTATTTGTGATACAGTAATACAGTGTGCTTATTAAATTAATACATTTAAACAACAAGATAAAGTAGGGGATCTGAGAGTGACCATAATTTAAAAATAGCAGGCAGCATCACCAGTGTTTTGGGTTGTCTAATGTGACATGAACACTCCTGTGACTTCTGCTGGGGACAGAGGCACAGTTATAGCTGGTGCTTCGGTGGCTTGTTGCCTGCATTTGTAATGGAAGGACAGGCTAAATTTCAAACTTGGTGAAAACAGAGATGCCATGTTTTTCTTTTTCTTTTCCAAGGCGGTGAGCCCCTAGAATCCACACTCTACAGCAGGGGTTGACAACCTAGGGTCCATCATACAGGCTGCCTACTAAGAATGATTTTTATTTTTTTTAACAGTTGAGGAAAAAAATCCAGAGAAGAATAACATTTTGTGAAATGGGGCAAGGTGTGCTGGCTCCTGCCTCTAGTTGCAGCTACTTGGGAGGCTGAGGCGGAAGGATTGCTTGAGGTCAGAAGTTTGATACCAGCCTGGGCGATAACAAGACCCTGTCTCCACAAAATTTTTTAAAAAATTAGCCAGGTGTGGTGGCACACACCTGTAATTCCACTTATTTGGAAGGCTGAGGTGGGAGGATCACCTGAGAGCTGTGATTGCACCGCTGCACTCAACCTGGGTGACAAAGCAAAATTTTGTGACATGAAAATGATAGGAAATTCAAATTTTGGTATTCATAAATAAAGTCTTGCTGGGGCACAGTCCTGCTCATCATTTACATCTTAGCTATAGCTGCTTTTGCACTGTAACTGCAGAGTTGGAAAGCTGTGACAGAGACTGTATGTGGCCCACAAAGCCAGAAATACTTACTATCTGGTCCTTTAGGGAATGAGTTTGTGACCCTTGCTCTAAAGAATCCATGAACCTGGGGTCAGTGGGTGACTGAGGCATTCTGGTGCCCTCTGAGTCACAGGTGACAGTCACAGATGACAGATACACCTATACATTTTCCTGTGAAAAAGGTCAAGGCATTTCATCAAATTCTTAAAAGGCTCTATGACCCCTAAAAGATCAAGAACCACTGAGTCTGGACAGTCTTGTGACAACAAGCATGCTGCAATAAAGAGAGGTGAAGAGTTGGTCAGGGATGTGCCCTTTAATGGTTTCCTAGACCTGGGCTGAGCAAGCACTCAGGTACAGTTTTTGTGGAGACGGGGTCTTGTTATGTTGCCCAGGCTGGTCTCAATGCCACTTTATCATGCAGGGAGAAGCCACTGGCTTCACTGGTTGCAGCTGCTGTTCCACGTTGTTCCATGCCGTGCAGGGTGGTGGAGCCTTTAGCAGAAGCCTCTGGCAGGTTTGTGATAGTTCTGCAAGGTAGGCACAGATGGCCCAGGGACAGTCTCCTTGAGAAAGCAGTAGACATGTATCCTGGGCCGGCTGGGGCACCTGTGCGACACTGCATCCAGCATTCTGATATCCCAGATCCTTCCAGCCCAGCCAGGCCCGAGCCCAGCCAGGTCCTGGGCTTGGCTACTCTCTGTTCCTTTTTTTTTTTTTTTGAGTTGGAGTCTCACTCTGTTGTCCAGACAGGAGTGCAGTGGCCGCTTGCGGCCACCGCAGCCTCAACCTGCTGGGCTCTGGTGATCCTTCCGCCTCAGTCTTCCAAGTAGCCAGAACTACAGGCATGCGCTACAACGCCCGGCTGATTTTTTGATTTATTGTAGAGATGAGGTCTCGCTGCCCAGGCTGGTCTTGAACCCGCGGGCTCAGGCAATCCACTCACCTCAGCCTCCCAAAGGCGTGGGATTACAGGCTGAGCCACCGAGCCTGGCTACTCTCTGTTCCTGATGATCATGAATGAATAGAGCTCTTGTTCCATCACACACACCAGAGAAGGTCGTGCTGCTGGGCTTTCAATGTCCCATATTTCTTTTTGAGAAAGTGACAAACAGTTGTGCATTAACAAGGGTGAACAGAGACCCTTCATGGGACCCCAGTGATGTGCCTGAGTTGGTTAGGAGGCTGCTGAAACATGTGGACCCCTATGTGTGATGGGCATGTGATGTGTGAAGTCTGGTTCTCTTCTGAACAGATTAGAGGGTGGCCCTTTTCTGCATAGGTTTCTAGATCTCAACATGTGGCTTCTAAGTTCACCATGGGGTCACCTGCTGACCCACCATCCCAAAGGGAAGAAAGAGCATGGGGGCATGGGGGAAGAGACTGGAAGGACATTGATGGGTCAGCCTGGAAGTGGCACACTTCACTTCTGTTTATGTTCCACTGCCCAGAACTCAGTTGTGGTCACACCCACCTACAAGGAAGGCTGGTGTCTTAGTCTGTTTTGCATTGCTACAAAGAAGTACCTGAGGCTGGATAATATATAAAGAAGAGGTTTCTTTGGCTCATGGTTCTGCATGGCATCAATACCTGCTTCTGGTGAGACCTTAGGAAACTACAATCATGGCGGAAGGAAAAGGGGAGCAGGCATGTCACATGGCAGAGAGGAAGCAAGAGAGAGAGAGAAGGTGCCAGGCTCTTTTAAACATCCAGCTCTCAGGTAAACTGATAGAGTGAGAACTCACTCAGGACCGTGGGGAAGACACCAAGCCATTCATGAGGGATCCGACCCATGTCCCAGTTACCTCCGACTAGGCCCCACCTGCAACACAGGGACCACATTTCAACATGAGATTTGGGGGGACAGCATCCAAGCCATGTCAGTTGTGAGTTAGTGCAGCGGGGTGCCTTCACAGGGTTCTGGAGAGTAGGTAGCAATCATGGCCGCACCTGTTTCTGGTCTTGTAGAATCCCAGGGGATTCCAGTGATACCGTTGGTTCACCTGTGAGGTGCCTTATTGTCCCACAGTTATTTACTGCGAGGTGCTAGAACACAGCAGTGAGAAGAGCCCACAGCACAGTGGAAAAGTCCACAGAGAGAAACCACACTGTGCTGCCTGTTAGAAGGGAAAACCCGGGGTGCTAGGCAGAGATGGGTCAGTCACAGAAATCTGGGAATGAGGACTGAGACCTGGGTCACGTGCGGTGTGTTCATGGGCTGCTGGGTTGGAGAAGGAGATGGAGAGAGGGAGAGGCATCGACTGAGCTGGTTGCAGGGGGAATGAACCAACTTGAGGCCTGAGGCAGAAGTCCTGGCCTCTGTGGTCCTCAGCCCTGCTCCCTCCATGCCCACCTCTCCAGACCCCCTTTTCTCACTCTGGTGGTGAAAAAGGCCACTGGCCCCACCCTCTTCCCAGGCCTGTCCTCTCTTCTCAGGTTCTTCCTTTCCTTCCACACCCTGTACTCCTTGGGGAGCCCGCCCTGGCAGCTGTTCGGCTACTTGAAGCCTTTTTGGGAGGGTGGCCTGGACTTTTGCTGAGCTGGATGGGGATTTATGGGACAGTTTTTGCCAAGGACTTAGAGAGGTGAAGACTGGGGTTCATGGCCTGGAGCTGCATCTTCGGAGAGAGGGGTGAGTGACAGCCGTGTGGACACCGAGGAGCCATCACTCCGCATGATCAGCCCCTCTCTTCTCACCCTTGTGTCCCCTTCCCCCATGTGCTCACTTATCCTCCCCATCTTGATCTGTGTCTGCCTTCTCTCCCACCTTGCTGTCTTCACTGTGAGCAACCCCCACAAGCTGATACTGACTAGAAATCTGTCCCCTCCAACCTGGTGGCTCCTGGCTTCCAAGGATCATCAGCATGCATAATATCAAAGACCCTGCCTCACCTACCCACTGGGACATCTCTTTCTCTCACCCTGCCCTCCGACTCTGCCTTCCAACCCAGCTGCTCCCCTGCCTCTGTTCCCCAAGAAGTCATCCTCATTTCCTCTCCTGCATTGACCCTGCCACCTCCTGACCCTCGACACCCCCTCCTCTCTCTACTCCTGCAGGGCTTCCTGCCTCATGGATCACGCTTGATGCTGCTTGAGTCATGTGTGTGTGTGTTCTGCCTCTGAGAAACTTGCACAACATGGGTCTGAACCATTCAGGCCCATGTATATACATATTTTTCAGCAAAATGCAGATAGAAAACACCGTATTCATGGGATGCAAGGCCTGGTGTGTGAACTTGAGTATGCATCGGTTTTAGTGTATGTGGAGGACTGGGCCCTGTTTCCACGTTCACCAGGGGACAGCTGTGTGTGCCTGACATGGTCATTGCCTCTCACGTAGCAAATGTGACTCATTGGTGACTGGTGGTAGCACACATGGCCAGTTGGTGGCTAATGGTAGTACACATGGCCATTTGGTGACTAATGGTAGCACACGTGACCCATTGATGACTAATGGTAGCATGTGTAGCCTGTTTGTGATTAGTGGTAGCACATGTGGCCCATTTGTGGCACTTTAATAGAGAAATGGGTACAGGATGTGCAGGGTCACTCACCAAAGGAAAAAATGTGAACAGCCAAAACATACATGGAAAGGTGTCCAACTGCAACCTCACCCAAAGTCTAAGAATTCAGATTAAACAATCTTACAGTGTTGTCCTTTACCTATCAATCAGCAAAGATGAGAATCAGACTTTGGCCACTTGAAGCCTTTTTGGGAGGATGACCTGCTGTCACCTCTGGAGGTGGCTTGGCAGGCGCACCAGTATTCCAGCTGTGCATACCCTT